AAATTATTAAGGTTATTTACCTCGTAATCATCATCTCTAACATCAACCACAAGGTAATCTTTCCCAGGAATTTGAGTGGTATCTTTCATAATTCGGGCGAGTTCAGATTGTTTGATATATTCGATCGATGAAATATTAACTTGACCTGACATTTTTCTTCGTTGTAATAAAAATTGGTAATATTCAAATGAATAAAAATGTTCTAATAATAGTGAATGACGCCAAATTGTTTGATTTGAAGTAATTTTTGAATTGAAGGTGCAAACCCGATGAGAAAAAAATCTATTTAAATCAAAAAAAGTCAAAAACATAATTCTATATTAAAAAAAAAAAAAAAAAAAAAGATATTTGTGGAATTTGGTTGGCTGATGATTTCGATCTACTTTTTAAAAAAATAATCCATTTTTCGGATTAACTACTTTTAGAATTACAAATAATTTATTAAATTAATATTTATTTATTTTTGCTAAAAAATTTTTAATATATTTAATTTTTAAAAAATTAAGAACATAAATATTTTATGCTTTAAAATTAAATTATAAAGGTTATCTTTATAATAAAAACTTTTATAACCAAATTTAATATATAGAAATTTATATTTAATTATAAATTTTAATAAGTAAATTTTTATCATTAAATTCAAATTTTGTTTTATTAAATAAAAATAATATATAATATATAAATAAATAAAATAAGTAAAAAAAAAAAAAATGAATTTTAATTACAATTAAAATAAGTTAAAATTAAAATATTTATCTCTTTAATAGTTTTGCCTATAAATTTGTATGCAATTATATTTAATAATTTTAAATATTATTAGCTTAAAGATTATTATAAAATTGTTAAAAAAATGTGAGAGACTTGTAAAAAGATCAGATATAAATAATGAGATACCACCATTTAATATAATTATATTAAATAGTGGTATTCCATTTATCCTAGATTATATTACCACCATATAATCTGGATATTACCATATAATCTAATTACCACCATATAATCTAATTAATATCATATAATCTGGTTACCACCATATAATCTAATTACCACCATATAATCTGAGTATCACCATATGATCTAAATAATATAATCTAATTACCACCATATAATCTAAATAATATAATCTAATTATTACTATATAATCTATTTATTTTCGTATATTAGGTATCTTTTTTATGCTCTAATTATTCTTTTAAATCTTTCTTGCTATCTGTATTTTTTACCACCATATAATATAACTACCACCCACCATTTAACCTAATTACCACTATATAATCTAAATACCATGCTTTTCTTCTTATTTCTGAGTCATTGATATACTAAATTCTATAATAGAGTTATTGACCTTCTGTAGTTGTTTAGATACCTGATTTTATGTTGAGGTGCTGACCTTCTGCGCCTGATTGGATGCTGGATTCTATTTGAAATGCTTACCCTTTGGTTGCCTTTCTAAATCCCAAAATGTGATAAAAATATCATATCAGGTAGCGCAGTAGATTTGCGTTTAATTTTGGCTGACACTATAGTATAATTTTTGACTGATCTTTAGAACACATGATCTGAAGGATCTAAGTTAGCATCATGGTAGATACTTGGTAGTAACCTGAAGCTATTATAGAACTGACAGGAAACTGTCAAGAAACTAGTATAGTTCTATTAGTTTATCAGTTCTCTATGCCAGTTTGGATGCTAAGTTATTGTATCTAAAGTTCTGACCAAAATTATGAAATAGTATTGGTTAAAATTAAGCAAATCTATACTGTGCCTTACTGCATTATAGTCACGTAATACTATTCTAGTGACAAAACATCTTATATAGTTATGAGCTAGTAATAGGAACATTTCTAAAACATTTCTAGAATCCAATATATATGCATTTGTATTATATATTTTTTGTATCCATATATTTCTGAAATCTTCATAATACTCTCAAGCTCCAGTCTGATAGATAGTTGGTTAGTAGAGAATTAGAGATGCAATATGTACTATCTTGGTCTGATCTATTTGATTACCAAAATATACGCCATCTTGCAACCTAATTATTGTGTTAGTATATGTATACTGATTTCATGTCTGTGATTGAAGATGCATTATATATTATCATAATCAGCCCATTTATACTATACCCAAGTACATTTTTAGAAAGATAGGGTCTTCTTTCAATTTTTTATATAATAATTCTAAAGAAAGTTTCACTTTCAGATACATATCTGTTTCTCTTTTATTTTTGATTTGTTGATTAAGTTTGCTATCACTTCTTTATTGTATCTATCGAAAAAATTAATTAAACATATAATACAACTAAGCTCATTAGTCTATTGTGTAGGATTGAGAATAATGCTTTAAATTTTCAGCTTGACATCTACTATAGAAATAACAAAAAGTTAGCTGACCTTCAAAAATAATATACAGTATCTTGGTTTAATTTTCAGAACACTAATTGAGAATCTAGGTTTAGATAAAAATGATTTAAAAATCATTCACAAAAGAAAATTAATGGTCATGCTTTCCTCAAAACTAGTAAAAAAGATTTTAAATGATATAGTCTAGAAGCTAGTCCTACTATAACAGAACAATAAATCACATTAGATAGCTTACACAATATCACTGGCTAAATTTAACTTTACTTTTTGACTACCTATTTGTCATCAAAAGCAGAGCTAAGGTATTATACTTTCGAAGGTATGATAGGCATTATTATAGCTAGCCTATTTATTTGCTGAAAATGCGCATTTTGCAATTAAAGCAACTATTGTCTATTTATTATCAGTACATGTATGCTAATTTCATGTCTGACGTTAGAAGTGCGATATGTATTATCATAGCTAGCTTATTTAATTATAAGAAATATACTATTTTATAACCTAACTATTATGCCAGCATAAGTATAACTTTTTCACATCTTAAAGTTAAATGCATTTATATTACTTCTAATGGTATGTTTTTAGACATATTAGGATATAAATTGAGATAATTTTTTATGAGCTGTCCATAATATTCTTAGTAAAAGTAAAGTTCTAGAAAAAAATTCAAAACTTATCCTATGGTATATATATATACCATTTGTGTGATATATGTATGCTATAAAAATATAATTCCATATTTACTATCAAGTGTGAAGACATAATCTGTCTTAGTTGTTTAAGTTATTAGATCAACTAGGATGGGAATTAAGATGGATTTTAATATAGGAGTAGAGCTTCTTTTTTTGATTGAACTTGTTCTATTATATTACGTACTAGTTGTCTTAGTTGTTCTAGTAAAAATAAAAATTCTAGAAAAAAAATTGTAACCTATTCTATGGTATGCTATATAGCTATATACTAATATATTTATAGGTAAAAAAATAAAAAAAAGTAAAGAAGTCTGAAATTTACTAGAACCATTAGAACAACTAAAATAGACTATTTCTTTCTCTTTCATTTGTTTTAAAACTAACATCTGGCTATATTTTATCCATCCTAGAACATTTTGTCAACTAGGACAGAAACTAGGATGAAATTTCTAAAACAATTTGCTGGAATATATTCTCAGTTTGCTTAGCCAGCTTTTTCTAATAGTATTATTCCTTTTTATAGTACTTTCTAGTATATAGATTGCAAAATCTATATTTGAAATAAGTTCGTTTACTACATTCAATATAAAGTATATATAAGGGAGAATTCTGATATATTTGGCATTCTTTTGGGTGGACCCTGATTACAAACTTCTCCAGTCCTGAGAATATATGGACATTGATAAAATACCATTTTTGATAACTATGAATAGTTTAATTATATATCGATTTATATATTTTAGAATTAATTTTCATTTTGAACTTTTTTCTCCTGAAGTATATACTTTCTCTTGAACTGTATATTTGTTATATAATATCATGATCTAATCTAAGCTTTTAAAGTTCCTTGACACGCCTATCCTGCTTTTTCACCTAAAGGCTAAAAAAGATAAAATGGAAGACTAAGTGATTCACTATTCTGATAAAAATTACTTGAACGGTATTTCAACCTGTAATGATATAGTAGCAGAAAATGATGAGAAGTTATTAATAATACTCTAGCTAAATAAAAAGAGAACTCTTTCATAGCTGTTGATTTTAGGGGTTCTTCAAAAAGATAGGTGCAAAGAACTATTATGTTTTATGTCTTTATAGCTCTCTTATCAATGGCTAAAAAGCAGTAGTTACCCTTACAAGAATCTGGGTATTCTTTAATATTCACGTATCTGAGAAAGAATCTGTAGATGACTTTAAGATAAAAATAGATGAAATTCTATGTAGTATTATAAATGCCTATAAAATAGAACCCATCGAGACCTTCCCTTTCTGTGGCTATCATACAGAAAAAAGTTATATTTACGAGTTTTTACACATGATACTAGAGAAAGAAAAAAAGCCTTCCAAGCTATCTAAGATAAAAATTTTGAAATTGCATCAGACGATATATTCTCATTTCACCATAAAGTAGTCAGAGAGAATGGAATTACAATTTCTGATTGGTCTGTGATAAACAAGTATTGTTGTAGAAAACATCCTTAATATACATACGATTTTTACATTACTATAAATCATTTTAGAGCAGTAGAAGACTTGAAAATGATAAGTGACCATTTTCTAGTTTTAACACTCATAAGAGATCATACACTTATTCTCACGTGAGATATAGAGACGCAATCATGAGAGTTGTGAGAATTTGCTGAAGTATATAAATAAAGAGGATAATATATTTATGATTTGCATGACCTTGTATTGAAAAGATGACCTAAAACTACTAAAACAGATTTACCTTGTTGATGTTAAAATAGCGTTAGACCTATAATAGATAACAGTTATATAGGTTGATTACTAAGAAAATCAGGTTCTGGAAATTTTTTAGCAAAATTGAGATTTTTATTGCATTTTAGTTTTAATGTTATTAGATTAAAATGCATTAAGCTCTTAATTTGAGTCAAAAATTTCTCAGAACCTGATTTTCCTAGAAACACTCCCATATGTGAAAATCAGTCAAATTTACTAAAGGCATTTGCGTTATATTGAAGAGCCTTTCAACCTGATATCCAGCTCAGTTTCAATGATTCTGATTATAATTGGCTATTTATTGTGAAAAAAACTTCTAAACTTAATTTTCTCAAATAAATATGAAAGCAGATGATGGGA